TTTCCTTATAATATATATTCCGAGTATAAATTTTCTGTGATATAAATTTCGGTGGAACATATTTCCTATGTTACAAAAAATAATTCAGATATTACTTGAAGCTATGAGCAGGGTCAGGAACAAACTTCTAATGTTTGTTTTGAGGTTTATTGACTATTTATACTAGACATGTTATATGAGAGAAAGAGAAATAAAAGAAAATTATAAATTTAAAAGACGAAAATATTGTTGGCATTTTAAAAGATTATTCTTAATTGTATGTTTTCTACAAGAATTGTAAAACAAGTATAAACATACATATACTATGATCATAAAACAAAAAGACATGTATATGCCAACATATGAACGGTATTCCACAAAAGATTATGCCAATCCAGTATGTCAAGCTTTTAAGGGTAACTAGAACACACCCGCGAAATCGCGGGTATTTAGAGCTTGGTTGAAAGTATGTAAACTGTTGTAGGATGAATTTTTGTAAAAGATTTTATGTCTGGAGAATTTCAGAAAAGGTATCAAACTGAGTCATAGGCACTTGGAGAGATATTTGGATTATGAGTTTTAAATTATTTAGTTGAGAAAAATCTTTTGATGTCTGAGGTAAAAAAAATATTTACCTGTACTGTATGCTGTCCTCTATATAAACAAATGAAAGTAAAAATAATTATATATTTTTTAAATATTTTACGTTATAGAAAAGTTTTAGTCAAAATTTAGACTCACATAGTGTTTAGTCTAAATAATTATGACGTCTTGAAAGGTTATTTTATTTTTTTTGCTGTGTCGCCTCCCTCGCAAGGGTCGACTCAATTAATAGTTTATAAAGAATTTCTATCTGGATTGATGTATGAAGGTCTGGATGGGGTTTACAGAATACTGCAAATGTCTCCGAATAACCGTCTGACGTCATGCAACAACCATTTTTTAATCATGACGTCACATTTTAGATCATTTTATAAAATTGTGTCGTGATGCAATCGTCTTGTTTAAGTACTGGCACATAATTTGCACAACAATAATTATAATCTTATAATACGAAGTACCGATGTCGAAATACACATTTTGACTGAGAGCTAACAATGTTTCCTGCAAACGTGAATTTCCTACCTTTTAGAAAACTTTGTTACTGCTTCAATCTTCAAGGCTGACACGTTTCGGTTCAGATCACAGAGAGGCTTACGTTGAAAACCGACTGAACTGGAGACGGTCAATAAATCCGTGTTGAGCAAAGATGTTTCCTTTATAAGGGACTGATAATTTTCTTTCATTGGGGGATGGAAGGAAATATCTGAATTTCTTTTATTTTTTTCAAGTACCAACCTTGAAGAAGGAAAATAAATTCATGACCTCCCTTCCACTGTCATAACATTTTTACCCACTCACCCATCCTAGATATTATCTTGAACAATTGAAATATATGCTCCGGCAATCATGAGTTTACGATTAATCATGTAAAACAATAACTATTAATCTTATTAGTGTTTTAATCATATGGAAATCACAGTATAGAAATCTCAGATGGAAAGGGGTATTTTTTTCAAGATAAATATCAAATTAAGAAATTTGCAACTGGGAAAGACTAAAAAATTGCTCAAATACTTTGAAATTTTTCGATGTCCCCTAAATGAATTATTGAAAAAGTGGATACCTCTCCTTAATTTCCATTCCAATAATTTTACAAGCCACGCCCCTTAATTTCCTCCTACCCCAACCCCACCCCTTTTAATGTAACAAATGGCCAGTCCCTCACGGTGTTTTTGAAATCATGTGTAATACTTCTTTCTCTTTTATTGAAGCGTGGATTTATTTTTATTGTTTATGGTGGTCAAATTGTGGTTTTCTCTAAAAGTATGCCCATATGCCAGATTCTGTCAACACTTTAAAATATAACGTGAAATACAAAGAAAGAGAGGCGAAAGATAGTGATACTAAAAGGACATTCTAAATCATAAGTCGAAAATAAACTGACAACGCCATGGCAAAAAAGAAAAAAAAAACAAAAACAAAAAGACAAACAACAGTACACAAAACACAACACAGAAAACAAAAGACTGAGCAACACGAACCCAACTGAAAAGCGGGGGTGATCTCAGGTACTCCGGAAAATTGTGGGAAACTGATAAAAACCCGATCTGTTGAATTTTTTCGGGATAATGTATGTGCATATGTATGGAAACAGCATTGATTTCCATTAGTTAAAATGATGAATTATAATCTCTGTTTGGTGTAACCATGGCAGCAATCTGCATTTATTTGATAACAAATATTCCAAAAAAAGGGGGGGGGTGAAAATGTCACAAAAATCTCCAAAATTTGGACCAAAGTAGAATTTTAATCCATTTGAGTGATACCTTTTCTAAAACCAATGAAATTTATAATTACAATTCAAGAGGTGAAATAAGAATTATATGCATTTCACCACATCTCTCCATAAAATTGAATTGAAAAGTTCGAGCGTAAAATATTAGCTGGAAAACAATACAATAATTTCTGGACCGATGTGATGACTTAAAATAGAAGTTCATTCATACTATAAAATCCAAATGTAAGAACTATTACAGTATTTGTTCTAACGGAATAAAGGGTTTAGAATTTGTTCAAACAGGAGCAGATATTATGGCATTGTTCATAACAAAGTTTCAAGGGGAACTTCTGTAAGGCGGAACCATTATTCGTTGACGGTAAAAATATACGGACTGTCAACCAGTCCGTATGACCTATAAAGCATGTGAAAAACAATCTTGATTGGGGCCTTCTATAGCCGACAATACGGTATGGGTTTTTCTCATTGTTGAAGGCCGCACGATTGCCTATAATTGCCTACCTCCACTTCATTTGAACTTTGGTGGATAGTTTCTCTTTGGTAATCATACCACATCTCTTTTTCATATTGATGTTCATATAAACCCACTGTGACGGCTAAATTATTCTTCAGCTATCTAAAAATCAATTTTATTACACAATAACCGGGGCCATAATGCGAAACCAAATTCCTAACTGTGTATTGCTTCCTTAGTTAATAAGACTTTCGCGTTCGGTTTAGAAGCAGTATAAATAACTAACTTAAAGTTTAAATTTTCATTTAAGATTACAGAGAGATGTTTACTCTTCAAAACGGCCTCTGGCAATAACAAGACCAATACCGCTGTGTATAATTGATTGAAATGTCAAACCATCGACAAACAGGAAGTAGCTGCACGGTAGATCTTAAAATTGTTTTAATATATACATTACAGTTTAACATCATCAAACTGCTGGCTAGACATAAACTCATTCCCTTTCATAGTAGCCAAAAAAGATTTGACGAAAAGTTTTCCATCCAAGGTCTTTCGGACGTACTTGGCCTGATTTCGCCGTTGGTGAAGCAGGTAATAAATGAGTTTTAGAAAAATGCGGAACGGCGCGTCAAAGTTAACGTTTAATTTGAACTTATTAGATATGTGAGAGATATATACATATATAAAAGCTCAAATGACCTTAACCCTTTGAGATCAGACATTTTCCATCTTAAGTGTACTCTTTGTTTAAATAAATGAATGAAAATGTCGCAAATATATAGTACATAATTATATGTACTTTACATATGGCTGCAAAAGACAACATACACAATTATATAATCTTCCAAAAATAAATTAAACTCGTCAGCTATAATAGCTTAAATCATATGTAGTGTATTGAAAGTGTGAAATCCTTTTTCCATTCAAGGTAAATTCTTCATATGTCTATGAAGAAATAACATAAAAAATGTGATGTACACCAAATAACCCGCGTAGAGTGTTATTTAAAAGTGTGCCCCACATCTTTAAGGTTACTTCGAATAGACAGAAAAAATATTAGTCATTCCTTATGATTTAGTTCTAAATTCCTTTTTTAAGGAGTAAATCATGAAAAAACGTTGATGACGGCACGGACACATGACAAAATTATGTCTTTAAGCCGATAGACAAAAAACTTTCAGCCAATCAGAAGACATTTTACATCCAAAATTAAATGATTGTTAGTAATGTAATACTATTTTACAACGCGTAAATGAATGAGTTCAAAGTAGGCATACGTCTTTTCCAGAAAAACAATATGAAAATATCAATGACTATCTTTTAGATTTTAGACTCATTTATGCATATCTAAAATCTCCTCTTAAATCACATGTCGAACGAATGCGATACTAGTAATTAGAATAATCATGACAAGAGGGTTTATCAGCTAGAATTCTTGTAACACACAATTATGTTCATTCTAACTTTAAAATTGAATTTTTCAATGTTTCCAACATGTTTAAACGAATAAATAGTTGGGTATTTATTGAAACAAAGACCAGATATCCATCCATCTAGGTAGCAGTGGCGGATCCGGGATACGGCGTAGAGGGAGTACCCATTTTAATCGACAAAAAATATTTTGTGTTTCTCAAGATTTACATGATTTTTTAGCATAAAATCAGTATATGGCAAGATTGCTGATTATATCATATAGGGAGCTACCATTTGATTTTTATGGGGGGAGGGGGGTGGGGCTATGATGAAACATTTTTGCCTGCATTTTCTTTTAGTTGTAATCTCTGTCCTGCCTTTTTATTTTTCACTCTATTCGGTCCTGCCTTTTTTTATAAAGTTTGTCCTGACTATTTTTTACCTAAATTGTCATCCTGACTTTTTTTATTTGCAAATGTCTCATCCTGCCTTTTTTTTTTAATCAAAACTCCTGTCCTGCCTATTTTTTTCAAATTTAATCCTAGCCCCCTCCCTAAAAATCAAATGGTAGCTCCCTAAGTATCTGAAACTAATCAGCGATAAAAATACAGTCTTATATGTACTATTTATTTGTCAAATCTATTTCCCCTCTCTTCATGGATCTAGTTTTTTTACTTGATAATGTGTTGAACATGTTGAAAGGTTTAACGTAGTTGTATTGTTCATTTAATGTTCGATCAAATTCTGTTTATTTTCTTCGAAAACGTTTTGATATAGATTAAAATAGAAATGATATAATACAGCTGTACATACCTTATATGTGTCCAATCTCGTCTTTATATTGATGCACGTGGCAGGTGTGTTAGACTCCTATCTTTCTGATTGATCGACAAGGATTAGCATTTATAAATAAAGTATCATGATTAGTTAATAAAAAAAATCTTTTTATATTTCTTGATTGATTTTGGAGAATAGAGCACCGGCACTGTCTCTGTCAAAAAAGAATTATTGGGACCTATATAATATACCTTTACGTACCTTAACCTTGAGTCTTTTAGGTAAAGGTATATGGGTATACAGAGAACAGAGGGTCGATAGATACATCTGCACAACATCATAGTTACCCTTATTAAAAAATATATATATTGCAAATAAAAAAAAGAAAATGATAGAGGGACACTGACTAACTATTAGACTATAGAATTATTTTTTGTTTTGCTTGTCACGTTCAGAATTTCGCCTCCACCCACATGTTCAGTTAAGTCAGTCTGACATCGGTTCGTCTCCCTCAGCTCTAAAACTGACTCCAATATGACAATTAAGTTCAGGGGAAGGGGTAGTCAAAAGAATTATGACTCTTGAAAGGCTGTTTAAATCTTTTTGATGTGACGCCTTCCTACGTCATAGCAACATATTAAAATAACGTTTCAAGACGCCATATTTATTTGGACTAAGGAATGGGATAAAAATATGTACTTGTTTATTGAATGAATCAAGATCTTGAAATGATGGCACACTGTTTCTTGACGTAATGACATTATGGTACAAAGAAACGATGTCGAAATACCTATTTGGAAGAGTTTTGTACAATATCTACTGCTCTGTGCGGCAAACGTGAATTTCCTACCATTTAGAAAACTTTGATACTGTTTAATCTCCAAGGCTACAGGATATAGTTCCGTTTAAATACTAATAAATGCTGATACTGCTGCTGGCACGTTGAAGTTGAGATCACAGGGAGGCTGACGTTAAAACATACTGAAAACGTAAAATAACAAAAATGCCGAACTCCGAGGAAAATTCAAAACGGAAAGTCTCTAATCAAATGGCAAAATCAAAAGCTCAAACACATCAAACGAATGGATAACAACTGTCATATTCCTGACTTGGTACAGGCATTTTCTTATGTAGAAAATGGTGGATTAAACCTGGTTTTATAGCTAGCTAATTAAACCTCTCACTTGTATGACAGTCGCATAAAATTCAATTATAATGACAACAATGTGGGAACAATTATATGTTACTATGACATAATAGGTAAAAACGTCAAAAATAGGGACACAGCAGTCAACATTGTGTTATAATATGAAACACTATAAAACAAACAAATGAACTGGAGACGGTCAATAAATCCGTGTTTAGTAAATGACGTTTCTGTATTAGTGTATTTTTTTTTAACTGAGAACACATTAATGATGTAGTCATGTCAGGTTTATTGCTTTTTGTCAGATGTTCAGACTCCTTGTTTTTTTCCCTACGATTCAGAGTTGGATATTTTGCCCCATATCACGGTTCTACCTTTTTTTCATATAAAACTTCCGGCTTATTGAATAGCTCTTAAAAGGACATTTACCAAAATTTAAGCAGATTTTAGATTTCTTTTCTTACAATTTGAGACACAAATGATGCCAATGTTAAATATAAGGTTAAAGTCCGAGTCAGCTTTTTTTAAATCAAATATCTCGAGAAGAAGGTCCATAACCTATCAATATTTCTAGCTTATTTTGTTCCTTAACTAATGCCCTTCTGACTTAAAGTATCAATTTTAGATCTTAGATTTTTTAAATTTCATCTGACTTCAATAGTCATCCTTAATAAAATTGAGAATGGAAATGGGGAATGTGTCAAAGAGACAACAACCCGATCATAGAGCAGACAACTTTAATGTATGATTAAAGAATGCAGAAATGAAGGAACCGTAGCCGCTCCGTTCCGAAAAAAGGGATTGGACATAATTTGTAACAACGCTCTCTCCCACATTTTTTTTGTTTGTTGTTTTTTTTTTTAATAAAACTTATCTATTGAATACCTGCGTCGCCTTCTGGGAAATCAGGTCTAGTAACCGCCCGATCCTGTCCGTCCATCCGAATACCTTTGGTATAGAAAACCTAATTTCGTCAAAGTTTTCAAAAAAATTATAGGTCAGTTTACAAAATTATTCAGTGACTTGGACATTTGGTGAAAATATTTTGAATTGAATGTAACAATGACTGACGACTAAAAAAGAAGCGACAGAATACAAAAAGGATATTCAAATTTATTAGTCGAAGACAGACTGACAACGTTATGGCAAAAACGATAGGAGGAAAAGACAAATAACAGTATACAAAACTAAGGGAGCTACCATTTGATTTTTATGAGAGAAAAAAGGGGGGGGGGGGGGGGGGGGGGGGGGTGGAGGGCTAGAAGGAATTTGAAAAAAAGGCAGGACAGGAGTTTTGAGTAAAAAAAAATAGGCAGGATGAGCAACTTGGCAAAAACAAAAAGGCAGGATTTTATGTAAAAAAAGTCAGGATAAACTATTAAAAAAAGGCAGGACCGAATAGAGTGAAAAATAAAAAGGCAGGACAGAGATTACAACTAAAAAAATGCAGGACAAAATTTTTCATCATAGCACCACCCCCCCCCCCCCCCCCCCCCCCCCCCGCCATAAAAATCAAATGGTAGCTCCCTAAAGACTAAAAAAATTTCGTTTCACTAGGTTAAACGATTTCCGGCGGAAAAATCTTCAGGAAGATAAAAACATAAACTCTTGATATTAGCTATTGAGATTTTTAAACAAAAAGTATACACTCTACGTTTTTGTAAATGAAACGAAAATACATTGTTTGTACAAATTTAAATAATTGTTACAGCTTCAACTGACCTTATAACAAGGTTGTTTAGTCCGTTTTTCTGTGTTCTTTATATTTTTGGTCAACTATTCCCGATTCTTTATATTTTTGGTCCATTATTCTCGATTCTTTATATTTTTGGTCCATTATTCTCGATTCTTTATATTTTTGGTCCATTAATTATCATCGATTCTTTATAATCTAGCACCCCATTATTCTCTTTTCATGATTTTTTTGGGTCCATTTTTCTCTATTCTTTATTTGTTTTGCCCTTTTTTCTGCACATATTGCTGCCTATTATTCTCTATTCTGTAAACCACACCCAAACCCTCTGTGATCACACTCATCAATTATATAGCTTACTGCATTGATCTTTGAAACATTTGGCAATATTTGTGAAGAAGTTTGTTCTTTTCGTTTGGTTTTGATCTTTTTTTACGAACAGGAATATCTGAAAAAGACTAAAAGTTTGCAGGTTCAATTGAGAAATAATGTCAAATATTTCATTTATTGTTAACTTGTGAACTACATAAATGTCTTATGTTAAGCTAGACACATGCAATATAGTTTTTATAGAGCAAAAAAATTACTCGAAACACTAAGGTATTTCTACCATTGGGCATATATTGCCTGAGCCGTATATAGCATCACTTTTCGGAATTTCGATTTGTATAATGCTCTACTACTTCGTATTTGATTTGGCTTTCCAACTGTTTTTATTCGAGCGCCACTAACGTATCTTATGTAGACGAAACACGCGTCTTTTGTGCCAGATTATAAGCCTGGTATCTTTGATCAGTTATTAGAACGACTTATCACCACATTCATACTTACTGTATGTATAATGAGTACCACGCCGAATGCAAAAAGTGGAGCAGGGGCAACTGAATTCACACCCAGGTTTTAAGTGTTTCGGTATAAAATGTTATTTATCATTTTTTTTTCTTTTCTCTTTTTGAATGAATTTTAAAAAATGAAAATAAAGAGGGTCTGGATAGGGGTCTTTATTTCTGTATTGTTTTATAAACTATACACCGGTTAAGATACATGTAAAATTTACCGAAATTTACCCAAAAAATTTACTTCAAATTATTGTCCTTTCCTACATGTAGATTTAGATATTTCAGTTTTACACGCGTACAGGAAACACTACACTAAAATTTGCGACAAAAGTGATGATTTTTCGTTCCCTATTGTAAATTTACTTTTTTTGGATGGTGATTTACCTTTGGCACCAGCTTAGTACGGTGTATAATATATATCACAACTCGTTCGACATGTCCGGGTCTGTTGTAACGCTTTTGGATTTCAATAAACGTAACCTATGTATTACTGGTAAATTTAAGTCAAGGATTTCGTTACTACAAATTATTTTAAAACCTTTCCTAAATTCTTCCATAAATATAAAGATTTGGGTTGGAAGTTTGGTTGTACACATGTACCTGTATAAAACTTATTTCAAACGGGATAACACATCCTCATTTTTACGGAGATGTTGTTCACCGAGCCCGGAAATTTGGAAACGATCCGGTCCGGGAGTAAACTTATCGATCCTTTAATTAACTTATTAAAGGTTACAAATTCAACACTTTAATTAGATATTTGAATATTGTTTTTATTGGTACTAACATTGATTTTGTTATCTATTGTTAATTTTCCTTTTTTGGATGGTAATGTACCTTTGGCACCATCTTACGGGGTTTGTATATCAGCTCGTTCGCTATGCCCGTGTCTGTTTTAACGTTTTGGATTTCAATTAAAGTAATCCATGTTTACTGGTAAATTATTAAGTCATGGAACCTTGTCAGTGAATGTCTTGTCCCCAATCAGGAACCTCGTTTGTGGTTGTCTTGTCTTGTCTCAAGTCGGGAACCTTGTCAGTGGTTATCTTGTCCCAAGTCAGGAACCTCGTCAGTGGATGCCTTGTACCAAGTCAAGAACCTCGTCAGTGATTGGCTTGTCCCAAGTCAGGAACCTCGTCAGTGGTTGTCGTGACCCAAGCCAGGAACCTCGTCAGTGGTTGTATTGTCCAAAGTCAGGAACCTCGTCAGTGGATGCCTTGTACCAAGTCAGGAACCTCGTCAGTGGTTGTCTTCTCCAAAGTCAGGAACCTCGTCAGTGGTTGTCGTGTCCAAAGTCAGGAACCTCGTCAGTGGTTGTCTTGTCCAAAGTCAGGAACCTCGTCAGTGGTTGTCTTGTCCCAAGTCAGGAACCTCGTCAGTGGTTGTCTTGTCCTAAGCCAGGAA